ACCAGCCAGGGAGCCAGGCCTGCTGTCACCAATCACAGATCACCAGCATCTCAGACAGGTATGGACATTCTCCTGTCACTTGAACCTAATTTATTGCCAGCTACCACATTGATTAACCTTGTGCTGTGGTTCAGGCTTCCTATAAAAAATGTGTGTGTTGGAAGGGGGAGGGTGGAGTGTGTGTATATGACTAAATGAAGAGGGAGGAGGAAACATAAAGGTGAGTGGATGTTTATATTTGTTGACTAACTTTGAGTTGGAGTTACTGTACAATCAGGAACGACTTTGTCAGAGTGGCGGCTGAAATCGTTTTGTCTCGGGGGATTTTTTTCTCTGGATGAATCAGTGGCAACCAATATTTCAAACATATAAATTTTTAGGACTGGAACTACATCTTCTGAATCACATCACTGTAATTCATCATCCTAAATATATCTTGTTTGTTTAGCACTTTTTATCAAGATTTGAATTTGAGTTCAGGCTCTTTGATTTTTTGTTTTTTTAATATAGAATAATAATACACTAAATTCAGCAAATGTTGTTTTTTGCTCAGGGTTTTGTGGATAATTTCTCAAAATTCATACAATGTTTTTTTCAAAACTGCAAAAACAAACAAAAACATTTTTCATGTTGCACGCAGATAATGAGATGACTCATACATCCCACTGTGCCTGATCCCTGCCATTTGCCATTTGAAAGTGTTTCATATTTTTCTAGGAATGGAGTAAACATTTAGAAAGCTAAATCACAGCAAAGGTCAAAGTGGTGCATAAAGGAACATGATTTACATTTGACCACAAGTCACCCCTGAAACTTTAGATTTTTGTTTCCCTCAAGGAAAGCAAAGTAATGCAATACAATGACAGAAAGTATTCATAAAACTGCAGTCCTTGGAGCAAAGGTATCTTGTGTTAAAGTCACTCACAGCAGCTTTTGAAGTTTGTCAAATGTTTGCTCTGCTTTTTCTCAGGATTGCTGCCTTTACCTTGGACAAAGCAGTGCCACGTACATTTATGTTACACATCTTGATGATGAGTCATTAAAAAACACACTTTGTAAACAGGCTGGGTAAGAATATCTTTCTCCTTGTCTCTTGGTTGTTGATTTGGTCTCATTGGGTATGCTGAGCTGAGGGGTGGAAGCATTTTGTTCTTTGTGTCTCTGTGATTTACTCTCTGTTCTCTGCTTGGACAGCCAGGGGCTGTCAGCAATCTCCCAGCTGTAGCCTCTAAAACACAACTCATGGGCCTAATGAACCAAGGCACGATTACTTTAGCAAAGAGCTGCCATGCCTTAAGAGGGGGAAAGGACATGGAGAGTATTCATAAAGATGGCACATGATGCTATTTTCTCCCCAAGAATAGTTGAAAGGAGAAGATCTCTGTGGATCTCATGTCATGTTCTGAGAAAGGCATGGCTAAACTCTTTTCTGAATGAAAGAGCCAGAATTCAATTTCACAACACAGGACCGCAACAGCGTCTCCCTGCTACATTCAACTTAAATATTTTAGACATGCCTTCACAGATTTGAAAGACTGAATCCCACCCATTGTCCTTAATTTGTTTTAAATATTTAGCATCATCATTCAAAAGTTACACAAATGAATCAAAAGGATTTATAATCTTCATAGAAAAGAAAATATAGGAGCGCCGATAGCCTATTGGTTATGTCGCCTGCCCTTATGTATGGAGGCTATAGTCCTTGTTGCAGCGGCTGTGGGTTCAAGTCCGACTTCTGCCCTTTGCTGCATATTCTCCCCCACCCTCTCCTCCCAACATGACTTGTCTCTCTTTAACTTTTCTATCCAAAAAAAAGACAAGAATACCAAAAAATAACTCATATTCTCTAATCATGAGAATATCTGCAAACCCTTTGTCTGTCAGCTGTGTGTAACACAGCAGAAAGGTTAATGCAGACACACTCTTAGAACAGCCTTTACCTATGGATAACAACATGAATGCAGAATGCTACTCTTAGCTGTTCCACTGTTTATATTCTAGTAAAAACCGAAGAGGATCTCTAATCTAAAACGTGCCCTTATCTAATAGCCCCTCATTGTTTCCCATCTCCTTTATGAGCACCCATGCCACAACAAATGCACATTATGAAGTTGAAGATTATAGAGTAATGCAGAGGGCCTATTGCCAGCAGGAGGACTGATACTGTTGAGATCAATAGAAAGAAGGCTTGCCAACTGCTCGATGACCACAAATGACACTTAATACATTCAGGATTGACCCTTAGTGCAGTGTCAGCAGGTCGCACGCACAAAGCCCAGTGGATTATTATGACGATATATTTTTGGTCAATGAACGGATGTAAAATTACAGGTTAAATATCGAAGTTTATCTAAGGTTGTTTCTAATAGGATTTACCCCTCCCCACACCCCCGAAAAAAGCTTCTTAGGGAGCTGCTTCTTTGGCTGGCTGAGATTTTCACTAAAGTAAATAACTAAGGAGGACTAAAAGTACCTGCTTTCAAGGAGAAATACAGCCCTCTAAAGACACTTGGGTTCCCTCCTCGAGACAGTGGCAGTTATGATGATGCACTCAAACTCAACTTTTTAAATCCACCACAAATAATTGTATACAAAGCATCTACTATACACATGAAAATAGGACAAGAGAACATATTTAGAGTTAATCCCTTAAGCACTATACAGTATTACTTAAATACTAACAGTTCATGAGCTTCTTCTTCCACAGATGACTGCCACGTCAGGCTGCAACATCCAATGTTAACTCTGAGTCCCAGTTAGAACACATGGGTTAAAATACATGGGTCATTTTCAACACAGCAATAACTCAGCAACACAGCAAAGGCTCATTAGGGGTTATCTGAGAACTCAGACTGTGCCCCACTGTGGAAGTCATAGGCTCTGCCTTCTTCATGATGTATGGCTCTGTTTAGGGCACCTGAGAGGCTGCCATGTTGATCGTATCTCAGTGGTAACTTTATAAACCCATTGCAAGGAAAACGGTGCACAAGGAAAATAAGATGTCAAAGTTTGGATAACATCCAGACTGTTTTTAAAGGAGCAGGATGCACAGGGAAAAAAATGTGTATTTATTATTACAATCATTGTAGGTGTTTGTGCTGTTTTGCCACCACTACAACTATTATTTGTACTATTACATTATAGAGGTAGAATTCTTTCAAAGCACCCTTTCTATATGCAATGACGATGATGTTATCCTCTTGAGTGCAAAGTATTTCAGCAACGGTAATAGAGAAGGAAATCACTTCTTTCTCTCTTTAGGAACAATGAAAGGGCTTCTCCTTCTCATCATGCATGTCATTTACTCAGCCATTAATCCTAAGTGCCTGTAGTTGAGCAACATGTATGGCTATATAAGTGCTTTATAAAATTGTGCAGGGTTATTTAAACAAGCTATTAACCCTTTTTTTATTTTTATTAGATTTTTCCTAATTCACTGATCACATCTTTATTGTCCAGGTACAACGTTTAGAAGCACCTACGCTGGTATGTCTGTGTATACAATAAACTGCTGAATATGCAGGCAAGTCAGCAGACATCAATATTTAAGTATTATGTTCACAATCAGATAAGGACAGGTTAAAATGCAAATAGTGAGCAAGGGAAGATCAGGGGGGTTCTTTTTTCTTCTTGGGGCTAATACGCTGCACATCGAAATGTCTTCACTCATCTTCGCAGACTAATGCAGGAACACTTAAAACACATGCTGTTTAAAGACGATATAAGGAGACCAGATACTTGAAGATTTGACATTGAACATTTAAAAATCTTAAATGGCACAATCACAAAGTCAAGCACAAAGAGCTAAGTCGTGCGTGCAAATTCAATGCCAGCCAATCCAAAAGCCCTTTTTTCACTCATACAGACACAGCTCACACATCTCACAGTGCATTATGCACAAAAGGGTCTGTGGCAGTAGAATATAAATTGGATGTGTGTGATGATTAATTATTGTCTCAGCCAGTCTCATAACCTTTAAACACCTGCGCAAATCACAGGCAAGCGCATGATCAAAATGGCTCTGAAAATGAAGAGGAAAGAGTCCAGACAGGTTTCCTCCAGACAAAGAAATATTGTTTTTGCTTGTTTGTTTATAGTCCAAAAAAGCACATGTAATAAAAACCAATAGACAAAAATCAATTAATATGCCTCTACTACGTCCTCTAGCAGGCTCTGAGAATGGGATTTGGTGCTTTTTTATTCTGTGAATCAAACCAAGTTTTTTTTTAAAGCAATTTTGTTAGTTGCATTATTTTGTTTACCTCAATTTGTTTGTTGTCAGTCAATAAGCTATTATTATGTAGGGCTAAAAAAAGATTGATCTATTCTCAACACATCTTGAAGCTGATTTTAAACAAATTGATTCAATGTGTTTGCAGAAGAAAAAGTCCCATACCTCCAACAAGACAACCAAATCATATTGGTTGAATTATGCTGAGATGGACTTACAAGTCACCATCCATCCATCTATTATCTATACCGCTTTTCCTGTTCAGGGTCGCGGGGAGCTGGAACTGTTCCCAGCTGGACTGGACTGTGTGTCTGTCAATCACAGGGCTGACATATAGAGACAGACAAGCAGTCACACTCACATTCACACCTTCATGTTATTTTTAGAGTCAATTAACCTAACCAGCATGTCTTTGGACTGTGGGAGGAAGCTGGAGTACCTGGAGAGAACCCACGCATGCACGGGGAAACATGCAAACTCCACACAGAGAGGCCCTTTCCGACAGGGATTTGAACCTCCTCACTGTGAGGCGACATAGCGCGCACCACCATGCAGCCGCCTTTACAAGTTTCATGAGGGCATACAGTTCTCAAAACAAAAGGTAGTGAAAAAAGGACAAACTTGGGAATGTGTTGAGGAATAAATGTAGTCAGGATTAAGCTGAGTGTGTCTTAGTCCATGTTGTTTGTGCTTAAGTAGGTGAAAAAAAAATAAACACGTGCACAGTTGCATTCAGCTCATATGTATAAAATTAATAGAGAAAACTCACATTGTTCATGTACTCGCTCAACAAGTCTTGAAGGGCCTGTCGAACAGCGTTGCACTCAGCCACGATGCGTTCACGGCGGTCGTCACGTGTGCATGAAGAGTCGGCCATCAGTGCAGCTCCACTGATGATGCTCTCCAAGCGTTCCTCCAGAGAGGGCCGGAAACGAGCCTCACTGAACGTTAGCGGGTCCAGGATGATCTTGTTCTGGAGGGCAAACAAAGAAAATAAGGAAGGTCAGGAGATAAACACAAAAGCATCTGGGCTGAAGCATGCCCTAATGAGGGCCACACTGAGACTCTGTGTCCTGGAATAAACGGAAATTCATATTTTCAGGAAATGTTAGTCTGAGAGAAAGACCTACTTTGTCCGTGATTTATTGGGTTGGTTATTTAAAGGTGGGGGGATGGATCTTTGGTTTATATATTTGCACATGTGTTGTAGTCTGGTATGTGGTTAATGAGGGTCTCCTGTGTGTGCAAACAAAGTACAACAATGTACCCACAAACACAGCGAAGCAGTGGTTGGACCATCAGGGCTAGAAAGGCCTTCTCTGCTGGTCCAAACACTGTCAGTTTATCTTAGTATCATAGCTGCTCTCGCCCTCAGTTGCGCTGCTTTCGGTGCAGATCATTTTATTGAACGTTTTTATCCAATCAGATTTTGCCACTGTGTTGTCTCAAAGGTCAAAAAAATCTGCCCTGAGGCACTCATGCCCTGAGAACTCATCTCATAGAATTATGAAAATATGTGTTCAGAGACAGCCCTGACTTTGAATTGCCGCATCTCTGGACATTTTCAAAAAACTTCTCAAACACCACCTATTCACCAAAGCATTCAGCCTAGCTAATACCCATCCCCCTCCCCATTGAGTGTGTCTGTGTGCATGTGTTTTTTGCTGTCTCCTTTTTACCATTGTGAAGCGGCATTGGGTTCCTTGAAAGGCACTATATAAACCCAAGTTATTATTGTTATTATTATTATATGAAAAAATAAAAAGACAAGTATGGATGAACAAACTCTCAGGGTTTGTTTTTTTTAAAGAAAACCTTCTGATTAGAAATGTTCACTTGTATAGAACGTATAAGAATAAAAAACAAACATAGATTTCAAGGGTACATACACGTAAGTTTAAAATAAGTTGCATTTGCTACAGGAGCATAAACACATCCTTGTCTGTTTTAAGACTTTGGCAACAACAAGATTTGACAAAGTTTGTTTACAGAGGTTTAGATGTACTGAAGTGCAAAACAAACAACTACCATAAAGACAGGTAACACCAGGAGTGCATTCAGAAGGTGAAACACAGGGTCGCTTGAGTTGAACAGAACAAATTCAAAGTGATATTCCACCTAAAATTACTCTGGGCATTAAACACCCACTCCCTGTGCATTTGGAAGATTCTGGGCCGTCTGAGCTAACAACTAGAGCAGAGAGAAAAAAGGGTGGCCATAATGTTTATTACAGCTCTTCCAGCTCTGGTAATTCATGTCTCTCTTTATCTTGGACTGCTTAAGTACAGTGTGAACCCACATGGAGGTGCCCCCCCCTCCACTGGGTATTGTTAGATCATCTTGTGTTCTTTGGTTTTTGTGAGTTGCACAAGTGTGTTTGTAGAATTCAGAAAGTATAGTGCATGTTGTTTTTTTTTTATACTGATATACAGCGCAAGATTGTAATTTACGTACTTTCAGCTTTAATGGTAAATGCAGCTGGTGCCATTCACAGCGTGTTCTGCAAGAAGGCAGAAAGATCACTCTGTAATGTCACTTTTATTTACAAGCCACTGTTACTGGTAAGTTGAGCGAATTCACCCGTCACTGCAAAAAAAAAAAAACGGCCGTCTTTGGAGGGTGACGGGTTCTAATTTCCAACTCTGGAGTGCAAATGTGTGTCTGCGTGTGCGGGTGTGACTTATACACCTATTTTTTTCCCGTAGACTTCTTTAACTATGAGGTGAAAACTGAAATGATGCCATTTAATGTAATCAGATTATCTCCATTTGTTTCATTTTGGGAGCAAGGAAAACCTATGAATCAGTAAAAAGAAACACTGATTCCTAAATCCGAACAACAACTGGTGCTTCCAAATTTCCTACATGTGTTTACTCATATCCCTAACATCTATTCCCATGAGAATATTTAACTAACAGCCGTTTGAGTTCACTCTTTCCATCGTCGGGTTCAACAAAAAACAATTAAAGAAGTGCTTTTGATGCTTGAGCGCGCAGCCCATCCAAAGTTGCATCTCAGTGTCAACTAAGCTGTAAATAAACAAAACATTCATCAATTAGTCTGAAAAGCCTCGAGGTGGAGCTCTGTGGAATACATGACGAGCTGTGCAAGTGTTGGGGAAATAATACAGAGCAAAGGTGCAGTGTTTGGTCTCTCCCCCTTAGCCGGTTTAATCCTGGGGCAGGGTGGGCAGACTGTCAAATGATGCGTATTAACATGCGAGGTGAGAGAGTGCGAGCCTAACCTACTTTTCATCTACAGCTGGCAGGAAAGTGCAGTAAACACAAGGTTGTGTAATAAAAAAAATGTAAAAAGAGAGAAGGGGTAGGGAGAGAGAGAGAGATGGAGAGAGAGAGTTTGGGGATACAAAAAAAAAAAAAAAATAAATAAAGTAAGTTGGGAAGTCTGAAGGGGGAAAAAATCAGACTACAAATATTCTGAAATGGAAACGAGTCAATTTGGGCTCTAATTTTAAAAAAAAAGGAAAAAAAGCAAGATGTGAAGGAAGATATCCTCTAAAAAAGTGGCCTCAGGAAGTTATATAGCATTACTTGTACAAAGATTCTGATATGTATTACAAGATACTGGCATTGTTGACATTAAGTTATATCCTGTAATACACCCCCAATGACTTGGGCTTTTTTATTTTTATTTATAGGCCATAAGAAATACATCTTTTGAGTATTTCCTGACATTTCATTCCATTAATCCCCTCTAGCTTTTATTTAAGATTGGTAGAGCAGGAGTAGATCAATGTGCAGAAACAGATTTTGATTAATATGTTGTCTAAAAGCCCTGGATGCAAACATTAGGGGATGAAAGCATATATTCAAAAAACTGCTGTTGCAATAATCGATACGCCAGTGGATTAATTTATGTTTTTCTTAACACTGAAAAGTGCGGGGCCTTTCATTTTGTTTCTTTGACTTGTTTTCTCACCGCCTGCTCTTAAAACGACTTCTGTAGTGTTTTCACATTAGACTTGTACAGATGTGAAATGAAGGGGAATGTAGATGAGAGGTGTATTAGATCTACCCTGTCTATGTACTAGAAACAAATAGTCTTTATTCATCTTTCGTCTGACTCTAAATAAGCGCCATGAAAGCGTAATTCATGTTTAGTTTGAGGAATGTTTTTGTGTTGCTCATAACAACAAATACTGTTTGCTTTTTTAGTTTAACTTTCTGATGTAAAGCGTACAGAGTACAGCTTAGTGCTGACTAAACACGTCTACATGAATCAGACATAGTTCACATTAAAATCGCTTAAATGCAACCTGTATGTCAAAATGTTTCAAACCTTTTAATGCTGAAAAAAAGTCAAGAAAAAAAGGAAAAGTGTGATCAGCATGTTGCTTTGGACGTCAACAACTACCTTACTGCCTCATTTGATCACATTTAGTTCATGTTTTTCTTAGATTAGAGCAGTGGTTCTCAAGTGGTGGGTCAGAACTCAAAAGTGGGTCACAGAACATTTTCCATGGGGTCATTTTTCATGTTTAGTACAGTTCCTGGTCCAAATTGCCTTTTCACTTTGTGTGTTTTATGTATTGTCTGTGTTGTATTAAGTACAAATAAAGTAACCTGAACCTGAACATGAACAAACTGCACAATCTTTTCTTTAATAAATCTGATTGATGGAAAAATATCTGAAATTTGGGTCGCGATTGAATCACGATGGATCCTGAGACTAGCCTACTTTAGAACCACTGGTTGGGAGGATTGTTTCTTTTGTATTGATCCTTGTCATGGTGTGGAAGCATCTCATCAGTAGAAGTAAGGTCCAACCCATCGAATATGGATGTAATAATCACATTAACATTTTTGAGGCCAAATTATTTTTGGGCTTTTTGTGCCTTTGATAGATAGATAGGACAGTGGATAGAGTCGGAAATCAGGGAGAGAGAGTGGGGAACGACATGCGGGAAAGAAGCCACAGGTGGGATGTGAACCCGGGCAGCCCGCTTTGAGACTACAGCCTCCATACATGGGGCGCACGCACATTTGAGGCCAAATTAAACATGATAAAATGTGACTGAATGAAAATGCACATCAAGCTCCATTAAAAACCGAACACAAGGCAGTTTACCTCCAATTTTCTTTGAGGTAAAAAAAACAAGGATCCGTTAGTCCTTGTTTCTAGCTTTGTTGCGAAATTGCTTTCTTTATGTTGACGTCTACATCTGAAATTAGAGCTTTACGAAGGGATAGAGAGACAATAGAGCTCAACACACCGTGGATCTCAACAAAGAAGGATTCAAAGAAGAAAAGAACATCAAGGGAAACTGAGAACATTCCTTTGCTGTACTCGATTGTTATTCCGCTCAGGGTGTCAGGTTGCAATTATCATTGGGAGTTGGGAATAGGCAGAGTAGAAAGAGTGGCAAATGCTCAGTTGACAAAGGCTGAGAGGTTTTCAAGGTAATTGACACTGGCTGAAGACGTCCTCCAAGAGGCTCACAGACGTGACTGGTTTTGTTAGTTCCTTCAACGAGTTTTGCGGCATTCGACTCATTTTTTAAAGGCTTTTTGCTGTCATTGAACTCGTTAACTACTTTTCCACCAAAACCATAGTAAAAAAGTACAGACGTGCACATGAAAATATTGCCATATTTTTAAGAAGCGTAAGAAAATGGACATAACCAAAGCATATCAAATCTAAAGTAGCACCATGGATCAGGCTATGACCTCAATGCAATAAATTAAGGGACCTCACATTGTCCTTTTTCTTAAAAGATGACTCATCCATTCAATTGTATTACAACCAAAATCACCCGTTCAAATTCTACATGAGGATTTTTCATTTAAACTCCTTCTGCTCTTCTAACTGTTCACAAAGCAGAGTCAGCTTCTGAGCAGTGTGACTGACAAATGGGGATTTAGTGTATTGTTTGAGGATAATTCAGCAGAGCATATATGCTGACACTGACTTTTGAAACCTTTCAAAGCAGCAAATCAAAACCCTAACAGTTCA